AACCACACCATACATACCGTACCATACATACCATACCATACATGCAAACACTATACTCTATTCTCTCTCTCTCTCTCTCTCTCAGCCTTTTTACTTATAATTCTTACGCTTTCTCTCTCTCTGACCCTCTGAGGACTATTAAAGTATATTTCAAATTAAGTTAATGTACGACAACACCAATTCTTATATGCAATTCTTAGTGAGAGAAAAAAGAACTTTTATATATCTATATATTCTTGTCTAATATATACGGCTATTAATTCTAATAACACACAAAACTGTTAGCTTTTCTCCTTACTTAACACTCTTATCGCATACCCTTCCCATTGACTGAACTTTTTCTGTCCAGTAATCTCTCATTGCGGCGAATATTTCTCTCTCACACTATCCTATAGAAGTGTTTTTTTATTGTATAAATTATTGCAGCATTTTTTTGTCCCTCTATTGTATGAAAGAATTAAATTTAAATATAAATATATATGGAAACCAATCGCTAATGTCAGAGCACTGGAATTTCTTATATTTATATTTTTTTGAGCAAAATTTCTGATTTTTCTCGTCTCTCACTTTCTTTCAAACCATTAGCTTAACTATACTTATAGTCCTTATAGCGAGCGCCCCGACCGATGAAAATCGTGAAACGAAAACTTAACGCCAAAAATGTCATCAATTTTAGTTTAAATCTGTGCACCTCTTTCACCACTTCCCCCCTGTGGTCCAACACCAACACTGGACTCCGGATTTGATCGCACGCTATGTAGAAGACTTCGTGATTTACCTGAAATTTAGATACAAATCACCGTAAAATCGTCTAAAATAATAAGTGGATAGGGGGTGACTATATACCTGAGTGGTGAGGGGCACCCCCTGGTCATCGTATACAATAGTAGTGACTCTGGCGTCGGCGTTATTGAAGGTATGTGTGACAAGACTTGGCCTCAATATATCGCCGTAGAAATACTGCGTTACGTTTCCGTAGCTGTCTTTGCGGACAGACAACCGACCCCTCGAGTCATACATATAGCGGACGTCATAACGTGAGAGCCGATGGGCTCTCATGAGTTGTCCCAACGAATTGAATGTAAACCTCTCTTCTCCCCTCTGAATGACAAACCCTTTGGCGTCCGTAATATAAGGCGTTTCACCGAAGCTGACGATCCGATCGCTGGCGTCATATAACATGTCGATGCGGTTCCCCATGTATTGCATTGTCGCCAGATTGGAGTTGTCGTCGTAGGAGAACTTCCAGTGATCCCTTCCCATCACTTCCACGAGCTGTTGGTCATTATCGTAGGTGTAGTTCTGGAGCCGCACTTTACTGGCGCCCAAATGGCGCATAAAAGTCTTGGATTGGATGAGCGCGCCGTTGGAATTGTACGACAGATCCATACGGAAGACCTCTTTGTCGGCGATCACGAGTGATAACTGAAGCAAATAGTGTGAGGCGTCGAAAGTCTTGGAGTAGGAGGCGATCCCGTCTGTCAGTAACGTCTCGTTCAGCGATTTGTCATAAATGCGGAAATTGGCGATCGCTTCGAGACGTCCGGTGCGCTGATTGTAGGCATAATCAATGGCCGGAAGACTGACTGATCCGACTCTAGCCGACAGGAGCTTCAGTCGACCGAAAGAGTCGTATTGATAGCTAAACACTAGATTTGATAAGAGATAAGAACTGACGAATTGGTGCAACTGTTTGGTGAGCAGAGCGCCGGTGTATTCAAACATCAACACAATCTGCTGGTCCTCGTATTGCCACANGCCGACAGGAGCTTCAGTCGACCGAAAGAGTCGTATTGATAGCTAAACACTAGATTTGATAAGAGATAAGAACTGACGAATTGGTGCAACTGTTTGGTGAGCAGAGCGCCGGTGTATTCAAACATCAACACAATCTGCTGGTCCTCGTATTGCCACAACTCTTTCGTCAAGAGTCCACTCATTTTGTTATAGATTTTCTCGACTTTTCCCGAACCGAACACCACTTCTTTGAGTTGCGACCGATTATTATACAAATAAACAATTTTCCCCAAATCGTTGGGATAGGTCTTCATAATCGGCCGGTGCTCTGCGTCCAAGTATATCACATATGCATTCAGAGGAGTATTATTCGGCGGAATATAAATCAGTTTATAGAAAGTCAGAGATATCTCGAGACGGAAGGCATGTTTAGTGCCCTTTGGAGTTGTGATGGCTTTGAGGCCTCCGTTGTCGTCGTAAGTGAACACATATTTGCGACCACTTCTGAGGACAATCCTATTGGGAGACATCTTTCCGTCTTCGTAGCTATTCTTCAAACTGGTTGTGTCTGAGAAGCGAATCTCCGACAAGTGGCCCATTCGGTCGTAGCTATAAGTCTCTGAGTGCTGGCCCTCCTGCCAGCCCGACAGACGGCCGAACCGGTCGTACATCATATTCAGCGGCAGACGACTCTCTTTGGGCAGCCATTGGACGGGACGGGAGGAGTCGTCGTACTGTACGAAAAGGAAAGGTCGCCGCGAGTTGTTGTACAGTATCTCCCGGTTGGCGATCCAGTCGTACTCGACGGACAGGAATTGGGTCTCATTTATAACGAGAATCCTCTCAACGGCCGCAATATTCTTCTCCCTCTCCGTCCGTCTGTTATACTTCACGTCATAATCCCAACCAATCCATGGCTTCTGGGTGTTGGGTGTCATCAACGCTTGCCTCATGAGCACCGGGAACATTCCGGCCTGGACTGGCAGGTAAGACAGCAGTACTTTATGCGGCTGTGCCTCCCAATAGATGATGTCTTTCCAAGGGGTCTCCACTTCGATGGAACCGTCCAAATGGACAAATGTCTTCAACTCAATGCCATTCTCATAGGTGTTGAACGACTCGCCCCTCACTTTGACAATAGTATTCTTGGTTTGTGTCACTTCCGACGACGAGTCCACTGTTGATACCAGTGCCCCGTCGTGGCTGAAGTCAAACTCGAGTTCAGTGGACAGACCGGTGGGCCGTATGAAGCGCACGAGACGTCCGCTCTGGTCGTAGAAGTAGAAGAATGAATGGCCGGACGAGTCGGACCGCGAGACGAGTAGACCGGACGAGTCGTACGTGAACTTTGTGGTCAAATTGTCGGGATTGACGAACTGCTCTAAGAAACCCTGTTTATTGGTCAGTACCCGACACTTCTGACCCCTCGTCGTCTCGATTGTGTGCAAACTATTGCCGGAGTCCCTAATGAACGACACTTTATTGCCTGAGGCGTCCGTAACGGCACTCAGTTTCCCGAAACTGGTGTTCACGTTATACAAGAATGTATATAATGAGCGGCCGGTTATGATGCTCCGGGTGGTCGTGTGCTGACCGTATTTGTTGAATACGTACAGCTCCTGGCCGTCCGGGAAAGCGATCTGAAACTCGAACTGTTCGTCCGGTTGCGGGATATAAGGCACGGCTGATAGGATACGGAGATTACCGGCGTCTGCCATATGGAGGACACCATTACTCGTCAGCGTTAAGGCAGTGATCGATACGAGTCGCGTGTCTCGGGCCAGGAGTACAACCTTTTCCTGTAAATAACAATTGAGTTAATAAACCGTTAGAAATGTATTTATTGTTTAATAGTTTATGAATTTATTTGAATTAATGGGAAATATTGTGATAACATAATGGATAAGAAGAACAAAGATAAGGGTAAAGAAGTGAATCCAAAGCCGAAGCCAAAGTCAAAGTCAAAGACAGACAAACACATCCTTCAAACGACTAATAATGTTAAGCAAAATTTAAAGCCTGACACAAATCAGATTAAACTTCAACCGAAACCTAATAATTCACCAAAAACTCAGTCAAAGAAAAGTATAGAAAGTGATAATAAGGTATCAAAGAGTGGACAGCAATCTTGGACTAAAGGGTGGTTCAAAATAGTAGCCCCAAAGACAGAACCTAAGAAGAATGAGATCAATAAGACAAAGACAGCTGTAAAACCTGTTGCAAACAAAACGGATTTAAATAAAACTGAAAAGAAAACAGTAGTTCCGCACAAAGAATTTCAATTAAGTCCATCAAATGCTAAGATATTGGTGGACAGGGGTTATACGGATCTACGAGAGATAGGACACGGCTCCTATGGCAAGGTATACACCTCGATGTCCCGCACACACAACAAACGGATGGCCATTAAAATAGTGGATTTGAAACGATTGACGCAATCCTTTAAAGATAAGTATCTGAGCGTTGAGTTGAAATTAATGAAAACACTGCCCAATCATCACAATGTCATCAGGTTTTATGATATCATCGAAGGAACCGCTGACCAGTTGTAAGATTCTTATCGTTAAAATTAATTCAAACTAATTATACGAATGGCTTGTAATTGAAAGGCTGTACGAAGTAATGGATTTGTGTCCCAACGGAGACCTCTTTGAGTACATATATAAACATCATTACATTCCTGAAGGACAGGCGTGCAGATGGTTTAAGCAGATAATTAGCGGTTTAGAGCACATCCACGTCAATGGGTTCGCGCACCGGGACCTTAAGTGCGAGAATCTGTTACTGAGTGATACATACGATATCAAAATCACTGACTTTGGCTTCTGTTGTCGTATCAAATATGTGAAGAAAGTTAGGTTTGGGGGAAATGGGTTCACAAATATCACTCCTGAGGAATGTATGAGCGAAACATTTTGCGGAAGTATTGCATTTTCATCACCAGAAGTCCTCAGAGCACAGCCCTATTTGCCCACTAAGGCTGATATATGGCATGAATTACTATCTCATAGAATATTTGACAGCAAAACTAATACATATATTTGTTTCTATCGTTTAGGAGCTCAGGTATTGTCTTATATGTGATGCTGTTTGGGAGGTATCCAACCGATGACCAAGAAATGAGACATTTTCAAGAAAATACCGATCACTTCATACAGTGTCCAGATCTACCGGAAGTGTCGGTTGAGTGCAAGGAAGTGATACATAATATTCTCACAAATCAGAGCAAAAGATATACGATCGACACAATCAAAGACAGTAAATGGTTTAAAACTGAGTGGACAGACATCGATAGCATAACTGATTTAAACGAATATTTCAGAAATCTTAATGTTTATCGACAGGTGACTGAAGAGTTTACTTTTACTGAAAATCAACCCCAAAATGATATACCACCTGATGATATCGATTAATATAAATATTTGTCACTATATTAATATTTGGTTTTTTGTGCGCTAAATAACTTATAAAAGTTTCAATAAAGTACTCGAAAATAAAATAAATTCTAAAAAACAATTTCATTGATAGCAAGGAAAAACAAATTTTCTCAAATTGCGATCTCGCGAAATGAATTCACATCTAATCTCCTAAAAAACATTTCATTGTATTACGAAAGAAGTCAAAAGTTGGAAATAATTTTCCCCAAACGTCGTGAAAAAAATAGTCGAGTCAACAACAGCTCCAAAGTATATCATTGAAAGCAAACAATTGTTTGAAATTCAATTCAATTCGTGACAAAAGAGAAAAGAAATCAATTCTTAGATCAAACAAATGAAAAAACTAATCGATTGCAAGTCTAACTCTTTCGAGAGAGAGAGAGAGAGAGAGAGAGAGAGAGATGCTGTTGTCATACCTCGAACTCATTGGGTTGTTGTACGAGTCCGGACAGGTTGGGTAGGGCACAGGTGCAGTTCTGGGCGTTAATATCTTTGCACATCTCGACCGGACACGAGTGCCTCGTATTAGCCTTTTTGCCGGCGAAATGAATGAGTTCCCCCTCTTGTGTGAGGGCTCGCACTCTATTGACGCCACTATCAGACACTTCTGTCACATAAAGGATTCCTTCGGGAAATTAAGACAACAAAACAAGAGTTAGTTTTTCGTGTGTTTTCGTAAATTTCAATAAAACATAAATTAATCAATTGTTTACCCGTTGGCCCGAAAGCAAAGTTAGCAAAGAATCCTAACTCATGGCTATTATTAATGCGACCGTTTGTATGGTTATTATCCTCGGAGGCCTTACAATAGGAAGGACTGCCCGCTATTATCATAACTCTTCGGTCAGGCGTTAGTTTGAGGACCATATGGTCATCGATGAAATATAGGGAGCCCTCCAATGGGTTAATGCCTACGTGTGTCGGCCAATGAAGTTTGATCTGTCAATACAAACACACAATACGTTTAAATGAATGTCTTAAATGTCTAATCAGTCCATTGTCTCAACACTGACTTCATTGACAGCCAGAGTTCCTTTGCATGGAATGGGTTTCCATTGTTTTTGATGATTCCGATCGCCGATAATCGTGTGAACGATGCCGTGATTGTCAACCATACGGATGCTGTTTCCGTCGGCGAAATAAAGCGAGCCATCCGTCGCGAACGCCATTCCCTTAGGATATATGAGTCGGGCTTCCGGTGCGGGCTTTCCGTCGCCGCATTTAAGCGGGTCGTGTGGGAAACACCGGTCGCCATTGCCCACCACCACATCCAAGTTGTTCTCCGGGTCCTCCACTTTGTCGAGTCTATGAAACAAATTTCTCTTATTTTCGCATTTTATTAGAAATATATTTCGCATTACGAGTGGATTCGTAGTATTTGATGCCTTTCCGGATCAGATATGTAAAGGTGACCATCGATTGGACTCAACATAATGTGATACTGATATGAATTGCGAAGATTTTTATGCTTGAATATAGTGTAGACTTGTTTCTCGGGGGTAATCCTCCGGATGAGGTTAGCGTCGCCCACATATACACTGCCATCGGGACCACTGGTCAGTGCTATGGGTGCCAGTAGTCTATTATCCCGGGCCAATCCATTACATTCTTTGCCGCAAATCATATTTCTGGCCAAACCGTTGCCCATCAGCACCGATATAACTCTGGGCTGTTGTTTGAAGAAAACGGTAGTGCCGTCGCCCTTCTGAAGGACGCCCTCATGAAAGTTATATCTGTGATGGATATCCAGATTCCAAGAGCCGAACTCCGATATATCCATATCATAGCCGCGTAATGTAGTCGACAGCGCCGTCCAAACGGTTTGCTTGCAATCCTTGTACTGATAGCCGACATACACTGCAAACAAAACGACAAATCAATGAATTCATGAAAACAATTCAAAGATAATATACGACAAGAAAAGCGGAAATAATTTCTTAGAAAATCCATTATCTCAGCAAACCTTTAGCGACAGTAATGCCATAGACTTTCTGTTTGTAGATATTTCTCTTATTCCAAGAGTAGGTGTATTTGATGTCCGGGTCGGCCTCAAAGGTCTTCTCGAATAGTATGCCTTCAATGACAATACGTAAGAGGACCAGACGTAGGGTTTTAGGTATGACTGACGGCGTCAACTGAACATTGATAGTGGACAGGTAGCCCTGGCTATAGCTGCTGTGGTAGACAAGGTGTAGGTGCGAGCCAGGGATGACCAAACTCTCCTGTAGGACCTGTTCGTTGAAACGTGAAATAAAAAGTTTGAGAAAACAATTTTCAGAGTCGATGTGAAAGCATTTCAATGAAGTTATAAATTTTGATGACAGGAATGGGAGGCAAAGACAAAGAGTGGGAAAAGAAAATGCAATTTAAGAGAAAAATTAAAATTTCAAAATAAGTTCGCAGAGAAAAGTATTTTTTATGTTAAGTGTATTTTTAAATGAATTTTTTATGTGTGAATTGAGCCATAAATCACAGTAAGATTTACGGCAATTGTGTTGAGAATAAAAACTAAAATCAAATATAAAAAAATCTGAAAGTCATAAAAGTTTTTGCCTCCCATTCGTTATTATATATTGTATTATATTATGTTTCATAAAATGTGAGCAATATTTATGGCCACCAAAATCATGGCATGAATTTGATTAGACGTGAGACTGACCTGAGTCTCAGCGATAGACTGACGGCGTCAACTGAACATTGATAGTGGACAGGTAGCCCTGGCTATAGCTGCTGTGGTAGACAAGGTGTAGGTGCGAGCCAGGGATGACCAAACTCTCCTGTAGGACCTGTTCGTTGAAACGTAAAATAAAAGTTTGAGAAAACAATTGAAAGCATTTCAATGAAGTTATAAATTTTGATGACAGGAATGGGAGGCAAAGACAAAGAGTGGGAAAAGAAAATGCAATTTAAGAGAAAAATTAAAATTTCAAAATCAGTTCGCAGAGAAAAGTATTTTTTATGTTAAGTTTATTTTTAAATGAATTTTTTATGTGTGAATTGAGCCATAAATCACAGTAAGATTTACGGCAATTGTGTTGAGAATAAAAACTAATATCAAATATAAAAAAATCTGAAAGTCATAAAAGTTTTGCCTCCCATTCGTTATTATATATTGTATTATATTATGTTTCATAAAATGTGAGCAATATTTATGGCCACCAAAATCATGGCATGAATTTGATTAGACGTGAGACTGACCTGAGTCTCAGCGATGACGGCGCTGTTCTCAGTACAGCCTCCCTGAGCACCGGGACGTAGACTCTCGTGGAGTATGGGTTTCATCACATCGTACTCATGCTTCAGACAATGCCATAGACTTTGGTTGCGTTTCTTATCGCTAATCATAACTCCAACGCCTATTGAATTAAAGTCAATGTGTTTAGCAATATGTTTAATAATAACAGTTGATATGTCGTGACATTTCTATTATGAGTCCAGTCTATCATAAGTGAATAATAATGCGAAAGACAAACACAATGGACATCACTATTCATGTGAAGTGTGCCACTGATAACGGATAGAGAGAGAGTGAAAGGCTATGCGAACCTGTATTAAAGGGATCAGTTTGTGTGGGATCCGTATCGTCTGACGGCGCCGATGACATGACAACCGGATTCAACATCACTATAATGTCATTCCATGGCACCACTACTGTCCGCTTAATCGGATGAAAGGGATTGCGCTGGAACTGTAGGGCAACGGCACCGCCACCGTTCACTAATATATCAAACCTACCAAACCATATGCACCCGACGATAGAGACGACACGTCCAGCCAAAAGTCAAGACACGAGTATTAAACCAAAAACCAGTGCCAAAGACAGTGAGAGCGGGTGTGAGTGAGATATAAGTAGTGGAGTGAGTGATGGAGAGAGTGAGAGAGAGAGAGGGAAAGAGGGAGTGAATAGTAAGAAGAATTGGTATCAGTTATCAAAAGCCCTTAAATCTGAGTCTAGAAACTGATTAGAAATTCATACCATCCGTCTCCTCGGGTGAGAGTAAAGCCAAATTGTGGATCAGTTGCGACGCTAACACGAATCCCAATAAGACCATTGCCTTCACGGCTAATCACTTGGCCTCGTATTACAGACACACGACTACAGGAGCCCAGAGATAGACACAGAGAGGGATAGAAAGAAAGAGAGAATTGATATGCAATAAAAGCATTAGTAAAGTGTGGAGTGAAGTGCAACTGAGAAAATAGTGGCAAAAATGAGAAGATATATTGCATTTAAACTAAAATTGATGACATTTTTGGCGTTAAGTTTTCGTTTCACGATTTTCATCGGTCGGGGCGCTCGCTATAAGGACTATAAGTATAGTTAAGCTAATGGTTTGAAAGAAAGTGAGAGACGAGAGAAATCAGAAATTTTGCTCAAAAAAAATATAAATATAAGAAATATATATATAAGAAATTCCAGTGCTCTGACATTAGCGATTGGTTTCCATATATATTTATATTTAAATTTAATTCTTTCATACATAAGAATACGAGTGAATAGTATGTAGAAATAGAGGGACAAAAAAATACTGCAATAATTTATACAATAAAAAAACACTTCTATAGGAGAGTGTGAGAGAGAAATATTCGCCGCAATGAGAGATTACTGGACAGAAAAAGTTCAGTCAATGGGAAGGGTATGCGATAAGAGTGTTAAGTAAAGAGAAAAGCTAACAGTTTTGTGTGTTATTAGAATTAATAGCCGTATATATTAGACAAGAATATATAGATATATAAAAGTTTTTTTTCTCTCACTAAGAATTGCATATAAGAATTGGTGTTGTCGTACATTAACTTAATTTGAAATATACTTTAATAGTCCTCAGAGGGTCAGAGAGAGAGAGAGAAAGCGTAAGAATTATAAATAAAAAGGCTGAGAGAGAGAGAGAGAGAGAATGAGAGTAAAAATTTTCGTAAATGTAAGCAATTTTTACGGTTGTGTTAACTACTGGTTGTGTGGAAATGGGATGAGAAATGACGCGAACACTAAAAGGTGTGGAAAAATTCATCGCAAAGAAAATGCTAATCAATGGGCGAAAAATTTAGGGAAATTTTTGTATTGTTTACAGAATTCTCATAAATGCACAGAATTTGTGGGAAAAATGCATTTTTAAATTTGGCACCGATAGGCAAAACCGATGAATTGGATTGCATGCTCACTAGAAGATTGCACTACTACACCAATATATGCCAAATACAGAGAGCACTGGGAGATAGACGGCACTGGGAAGGGGAGTATATGCGAGAGAGAATTGAGAGAGAATAGAGTATAGTGTTTGCATGTATGGTATGGTATGTATGGTACGGTATGTATGGTGTGGTTGTTATATACTGACTGAGACGGAGCAATGACTAGCATTGATAGCACTCAACATTTCATTTAAAATGCATTAGAATTCTGTGTTTTTTGGGTTAACACTATTTATTGGACAAGAATTGGGATAATATGGACAAGAATTGGGATATTATTCCGAATTAAATATAAGAATTCACTTATATTTATCGGAAGGAATGGGAGGTAAGGAGAGAGAGATATATTGAAAGATTGGATTTAATATAATTGTGTTGTTTGTTGTGGTGGTATATATTAGGTAGGAATGGGAGGGAGTGGGAGATGTAGTGTATTGGATGGCAATGGTTTGGGAGTGGGTTTCATGGGATCGATTGATTCAATACATATAAGACAGCCAGAGGGGACTGACACACACTAACACATACACCGCTATAACTAATACACAAACATAACGTATTGCTAAACATCGAGAGGTTAGGTGACAAACAAACAGATTTGCGGCACAGATAGCCATAAATGCAGTCCTCCTCGTCCGCACAGTTGTGTCACATCTTATCAGTAGTGGACAGACATGACAGTCGATGCAGAAGAGGAGAGAAAATTAAAATAATTTGAGAGCAAAACAGACAATAAGGACAACACATAGAACATAGAGATTCACATTCAATGAGCGTCTCATCCGTTTAATGAGATTCAGATGCAAGTGTTTGGACACTATTTACAGACATTCAAAACACCAGTCATTTCTCAATACATGAGAGAGAAAGAGACTTATGATTACATCAATTAATGGGAAATACATACAAATGAGGCGTTTCTGCCGTTTGGATACAAGAAAAACATTTACGGATTGAGAAGAATAAGAGAGATAAAGAAGAGTAGGAAAAGACAATTAAGTTTTGCACACAAAATGAAAATAAATTGATTTGTTTTGTTAACAAATTTGATAAAAACTTAAACATAAGGATTAGCAAGGTTTTTTGATTATAATTATAGGGCAGTGTATGCCACTGTCTGATCACAATCAATGTCGCCGTCGAAAATGACAGCAAAAAAATCATATTCTCTGACATTTAATTAGCTTTTATATGCTTTTAGTGTATACGAGGCTTATTGCCAATACTAAACGCAAACTAAAAATTTTCCAGTACATTTAATACTGGATTTAATGTTATTAAACAAACTCTACGCCAAAACTTTTTCATTAGGGAAAAAGTTGGAGAATATTTTCACTAATTATTAGCGAAAGATATAAAAAAGTGAATATATTTTTCTAAATGGATATCCAAAAAGATAAGCGGATTAGTAGTCGAGAGAGAAAACTCAGGGCAAAGAGATTGATAAATACATTGAAATCGATAGATATACACACAGAATATATCGATCAATAGATAATATATTTGCCATATAATATATGGGTTTAAGTTTTGCGTTTTTTTTCTAGAGAGCACCGGGAGATAGTGTGAGAGGTTAGAAAGTATAGACTTGAAGTTTAGGGTTTAAAAAATGATGATAGCATTTCTAGCAGCGAGTCTTTCACAATATATTACTCCATGAATACTAAAACACAAAAAATCAAAAAACTAAACCAAAACATATAGAAAAAACGAGAGAAAAACTAACGAAACAAAAAACTTGAAACGAAAATCACTTTGAAAACCCCCACATAGATATAAAAACCCATTGTTTTCTAGTATATATATACGGTATGAAAATACAACGAGTTATTGATTGGAACATAACTTGTAAATCATTTGGTTTTTCTCATATATAGATATAAATAAATATATATAAATAAATATATATATAGATTTATATATTGATATCAATTGTAAGCTACTATTTCTCCATTTCTATTTCGCGGTCTAATTCAGTGGTCGTTTTGGTATTAATATGAATGTCACTGTTTTCTGAGTTTAGACTTTTATTTGGATAATTCATTTGTGGACAGGAATTGGAGGCACAGATACCTACCTTTGTTTGAAGGCACTCCAAAACAGACTGCACGGACAGGTAGAAGAGAGAAAGACATATAGAAAAACAATGTTTTGTGCGATATATTAATGATGGGATGAATTATTTATGTATAATTTATATGAAAAGTAATATGAATTGTATTTAAATTAGGGGTGAAATAGGGGAGTGTGAGTGAAAAAAACTAAAACTATATAAAAATTGATACAAAAATATAGTGAATAATGAAAATTATACACAAAATTAATATCGATTTCGCTTTCCTTTCGCTTAATTCTCTACTTAACGATTAGTTTTATAATTTATGGTTAAAAAAAAGTTTTTTCGTGATTTTATGTATCGATTAATTGATTCATAAAAACTATGAGAGAAAAAGGCATCAAATGATGTGAAAAATGAGAGGAAAAACGTAATGATTGAAAGAAATTAATGGGAAATCGGAAATGGAGGAAATGGAGCTTCAATTTTATATGGATTTTATATTTTTTGCGTTATTAGTATTATTAGTATTATTATTATTGATGTATTTTTCTGCTACGAAATAATTACTATTAACTAAAATTAATGCTAACATTCAATAAACTATTTTTTGTCAACTAAAACTACTGCACTATTAAATGTATGGGGATGAAATTGTGGACAAACTTTTATAATAATAAGCAAATTATGTTCACAAATGCAAACTCAGGTACTATTTTATGGGATAAATATTAAAGGGGGAAATGTATACAAACTAAAATACCAACGAAAAAATATCCAGATTTATAATCTCTATATAAACCATTTGGGAAAACAGAAAAAAATCTAAAATTTAAACATAAAATCTCTATAAAAATATATATAACATAACAAAAACATAAATCCATAAGTAATATAAAATAATGCATAACACAAGCATTTATATGAATATATTGTAGCTTTTTTATACGAAAAAATATACTTTGTTTCGATGCTTATATATATTAGTTGTAAACTCTGTTCAATATATTCTGGTATCGATATGTTTTCAAACGAATATTGAGTTCAATATTTCATGTTTGATAAAACAGTAGAAAAATCCAATTTAAATTAAAATATTCTTACTTATATTCACATTAAAAATTAATACAAAAGTTAAGTCAATGAGACTTTGAATTCAAACTATTGTTAAGAAATACATCGATTGCACCAAAAATACGAGAATAGAGTTTACGTATAAAACAAATTATGATAAAAGTAAGGCTGCATTATGTTTGTTGAGAGCACTGGTAGAATGGATTTCAGACATGAATATGTTGTCCGAAAATATACATTTTATATTACCTAATAAAATACTTATAGCAAAAATATTAACTGCAGGGTTGGGTGTATAAAATAGCTGTTTTATAAATTTGGAAAATATGTATATTTAATATTATGAACAATATTTTATAGCAACCAGATTATGTTTATACGAGTAATGTTTAGTTTTTTAGTAAACATTACTTCACATCTATAATACATAAACAACTTTACATTATATGTAGAAAATATGCTCTTTTTATGCGATTGACAGGTGTGTCAAAAGCGATAGAAACAAGTTTTATATAAGACTTTACGTAAGAATATTCTAATAGAGAATAGCATTGATAGGCTGGACAGTGGCAACACTGCCGGTCATAATGTGTAGGGGCTCTGGATGTATGGGATAACACAAAATTGTATAAGATATGAAATATAAAAGTGTAGGAGTAATAAAAGTTTTGAAATGTGAAAGTATAAAATATAAATAAAACTTTGAGATTGATATAAAATCGTAAAATAAAAATTTTAAATAAATTATTTTCAGGAGAGAGAGAGAGAGAGAGAGAGAGAGAGAGAGAGAATGTGTTAAGTTATGAAAAACTAAATGTATAGTTAAATAATAATAAAGAGAGGGCGGGGAGGGGGGAAAGGGATCGGAGAATATAGAGAAAAATATAGTGTAGAAAGCAATGAAAATTTGCCACAAAAAACACATAATGCAGCTCAATATGAATGAGTATTAAAATAATATACGAATGAATGAAAAATTATACGAAAAATAATAGAGAAGTAATAAATGCACCACAAGTTGACGAGGGATTCAAAAACATTAGTCTTGTGTTTAGTTTTGTTTTGAGTGAAAAACAGAGAGAAAAACTGGGAATCGAAACGATCGCCGAGTTTTTAATATAGAAATTGCATATAAATGACATGAAAATTATGGTGCGATATATGGCATGAAAGCGTGGAAAACACTTTTCATGAATGAATAACATATAAAACACATATAAAATGATGGGAACATAAAAAGGTGAGGAATTTCGGGGGAAATAGTATTATATTGTATTATAATCTATTATATTCTGTGATATTTTTAGTCTTAAGCTTTAGACTAAAATACTTTTTTGGTTATTATATTTTCAAAAGCATTTTATATTTATATGAAATGTGGTGCTTATGGTATGTAATGATTCATAAGAATTAGACTTTTAGACATAAAAATACATTAGATTTTGTGTTTGTAGTTAAGACCCACCTTAAAAATGTTCAAAAATCTGTGATAATGTAATACAACATAAAATGTAGTGTATGTATGTATTACTGAAAAGTTGATGAAATAAATTAGAAAACACATAATTAATAAGTTTTTTGAAAACAAATTTAAAAGTTGTTAAAATTTTATATCAAAAAAATTAATGAAAAATGTTTTCACTAGAATATTCATAAATAGAATAAACTAGCATAAACTGAATGTGGAAAAAATGTTGATTAAAATTAAAAGTAAAATACCAAAAAATATTAATTTCGTGAACCATTTATAAATGTATGAGTAATGTGTGTGTTTTGAATCATAAATTCAAAAATTCTGTTAATTATGTGTCAGAAAATAGTCGACAAAAGAAATTCTTGAGTCTGTATGGTATGGTATGGTATGGTATGGTATGGTGTGAGTCGATGGGCGACTCCACACTAGCAGCCGGTGCTTACCTTTCAGAGTATTCATCTTTATGGGCATAGCTTTGAACACTCGACTCCTCGATCAAGAATTTCATCTTTTGATAGAAACTGGCGGTCACTGCAGGCGGCTGTTTGCGTAACAGTATGTCCAACGGGTCGGGACTCGTGATACACATCAGCGACTGATGGCTGCGCACAACGACCGCAAACACGAGAGTTAAGTAATTCAATGAGATTTGCATTTAAAATCAATTATCGTTTCACTCGATGCGAGTGTTTGTGCGATAGTAAGCCGTACGAAAAAATGCTAAATAATTGATAGGAACGAGTAAATTGTCTGAAAAATAATACTTATACTGCAATCTAATGCTAATGTACTGTATATTATTTAAGAGTCTGTGTGTGAAAGACAAGACTGTTTATGAAGATCTAATTAATGGTAATATAAATATAAAAAATATTAATTTCGTGAACCATTTATAAATGTATGAGTAATGTGTGTGTTTTGAATCATAAATTCAAAAATTCTGTTAATTATGTGTCAGAAAATAGTCGACAAAAGAAATTCTTGAGTCTGTATTGTATGGTATGGTATGGTATGGTATGGTGTGAGTCGATGGGCAACTCCACACTAGCAGCCGGTGCTTACCTTTCAGAGTATTCGTCTTTATGGGCATAGCTTTGAACACTCGACTCCTCGATCAAGAATTTCATCTTTTGATAGAAACTGGCGGTCACTGCAGGCGGCTGTTTGCGTAACAGTATGTCCAACGGGTCGGGGCTTGTGATACACATCAGCGACTGATGGCTGCGCACGACGACCGCAAACACGAGAGTTAAGTAATTCAATGAGATTTGCATTTAAAATCAATTATCATTTCACTCGATGCGAGTGTTTGTGCGATAGTAAGCCGTACGAAAAAATGCTAAATAATTGATAGGAGCGAGTAAATTGTCTGAAAAATAATACTTATACTGCAATCTAATGCTAATGTACTGTATATTATTTAAGAGTCTGTGTGTGAAAGACAAGACTGTTTATGAAGATCTAATTAATGGTAATATAAATATAGTCGGCTTATTGTCGCCAAACACGGAACCGATAGTCAAGTGTGTGTTTTTCGGGTCGTAATTACCAGTGATCGGTACCACAGCACTCGNCGAGTAAATTGTCTGAAAAATAATACTTATACTGCAATCTAATGCTAATGTACTGTATATTATTTAAGAGTCTGTGTGTGAAAGACAAGACTGTTTATGAAGATCTAATTAATGGTAATATAAATATAGTCGGCTTATTGTCGCCAAACACGGAACCGATAGTCAAGTGTGTGTTTTTCGGGTCGTAATTACCAGTGATCGGTACCACAGCACTCGCTGTCCGCACAATCAGATAAGCCGTCTATTATGGGAGAGAGAGAGAGAGAGAGAGAGAGGGAAAGAGGGAAAGGGAGGCATAGAATGAATGAATTAATGAAAAGTAATTAATTTAATGGATAGAGAAATACATCATAACATAAACATAAAAAGTAAAGTTAATTATGAGTTCAGTTATGGCACACAGAGCTGGCTGTGCGCACCGGTTGACGGGTTATGCAAATGAGAGACAATTCCTCATATTTATGGCTATTAATAGACAGCAATACAAACCATTATCGTTGTCGATATCATCGGCACAGTTGGTCTCCTGAGGCGCTGAGCAGTCTTTGCCACCCCAGCCCTCTCTGCACCGACACAACCATTCCTCATTGTGTCGGACACACAGGGGTACCGACCTCGTAGGAAACCCTGTTGGCAGACTAGTAGTTTTGTTTATGTTTGTACTTTTTACGTAAATTTACATAACGTTTGCGGCAGGTTTACCGCATATATAATTGTTTAAATATCGGGATTCCCAGACATCAATACTGATTGTCATTAACGTTATGAATGGCAAACGTACCTAACGTGCAGTGTCTGCCCATCCAGCCTTGTATACAAATACAGGTGCCGTTGTTGCACTGACCATGCTCAAGACACCGGTGATCACATATTTGCTCATCACATCGCGACCCGTGCCAACCGCCGTCGCAAACACAACGGCCCCCTTCGCACACCCCATGAACACCGCAATCGAGATTACATTTGGCTTTAATTAGGATATATTGAGACAAATTGTTATTTCATCCGCTGATTGGTGAGGAATGGGAGGAATGGGAGGCTAATAAATAGTTAAATAGCAGATTCCGTACCGATATCACAGTTAGCACCAGTAAAGTGGGGAAAACAAACACACTTCCCAGTGTCCAAATCGTAAACACCTTTTGTTATGTCAGAGACAATGGTTTAAATCAATTGAAATATTAGTTAATAACAAAGTGTTAAGTTGGGAAGGGATGGGGAGGGAAAGGGAGGCCGAGAATTGTAATAAATATAATGGATGTGTTGTTCCTCTCTAACAGTAATCAAATAAACGGACGAACAATGAGTTTCGTCTAAATGAAAATGAATGGCAAATACAGTGAAAGTCTTAACAATAGGTTTACGACTAAAACTCGGAGTTTGGGTCTAGACTTCACGGGTACTCAAGTAATGACTTGACAATCAATTTATACATTTATTTCTCTCAACTTTATAGTCGCTATAACAATACGATTCGCGAAAATATTTACTCTAGTATTCAGTTATCATCAAAATTAGGTGTGAATTGGAAATATGATTATTAGGAGCGAGTGGTTGTAATGTGTTAATAATGGATGTATGCTGTTATGACATACCATGTTGTGAACAATTGGGGAAAAATTGACTTAATCTATGGTCAGCATCGCTACAGTTAGTGCCGGTCCACCCGACTTTGCACCAGCACTGGCCGTCTATACAGGCGCCGTGACTCGAGCACAACGGATCCAAACAGTCAACTGATAGGAGACACAAGATTTATGTGATAATTAGATCCAAATTTAGATAAGAAGTAAATTGTTAATTAAAAAGTAATTATTTTCAAAGACAAAGAATTTTATGAATTGAATAAAAGAGACAAAAACCAAATACACTATCAGTCCATCAATTCGTGTGATTAGAGAAAGACTTGACTCTAAAAAAAGCTTTTATTTTGTTTTTTGTCTCAATTCTTCTCTTATTCTCTATTTCTTTATTCTTCGCTCTATTTTCTGGTGTTGTGTTTCACTTGACGTGAATTAAAAGGTATAACAAAGTAATAGTGAAGGGAAAGGGTATAAAAAAGGCTAAAGTTTAGCGTCAAATCGATTGATTTGGAGAGAGAGAGAGAGAGAGAGAGAGAGAGAGAGAGAGAGAGTCAAGGGATTGATAGCAAACAGAAATAGAGAGCAAAAGCTAAGACTGTGTATAAAAAGAGAGCCAAATAATGATCACAACAACTGGTCATACGTTTGAGTCAATAACTGAAGACTAAAAAGACATACAAAACAAACAATGGGTTCAGGAAATGAAATTAAAGCCAAATTTCTTCAATACTTCTTTGGCTATTATTTATAGATAACTGCATACATTGTATGGTATGTCAGAATTGGAGACTAGATTGCAGTTATGGCTTAAATATGATATTTGTTTGACTCATAAAACAAAAGACAAAACAAATAAATGGTTTAATAATGAGGGGTTTGGCTGTCGAGTGAGTGGTAGTCATGCGATTCACTAATTTCCAGATTCAAACCGATGGACACGTATTGACGGACTCAATGATAGGGTATGCATGAGAACCGATACAGTGATGACCACATGAGACATAAGAGATGGTGAGACCTACCGATGTCACAGCTGTCGCCCCGGAATCCACTGAAACACTGACAAACACCGGACACACACTTCCCGCGGCCGTTGCAGTCATTCACTTCGCAATCGGTCGACCGTATGGTACACTCCGGACCCTTCCAACCCGTTTCGCACCGACAGCTGCCCTGAAGGTATCGGCCGTGACCTCCGCACAGCACCGGACATACATCTGGTTTGCAAATAAGAGTTCATTAAGTTTTCAAACAAATCAATTGATTAGGGGTTCAGTGAACTTACTATCGGCGCAGTCGTGTCCGATATAACCTTCGGATTAATAAAACAGATATCATTACATGTAATGGTAAGTTAGGAATGACATTATCGGATAGGGATGTCCATACCTGGGAAGCACTGGCATTTGCCTAAATGGCAGTTCCCGTGATTGTGGCAATTGTTTGGACACGTCGTCGGCACTTCTTCTACAGATTGGAAATACAGTTCATTTGTATTACAGATATGTATTTAATTAAGAAATTGTTTGCCATAAAAGGCATTGGATATGAAACATATGAAAGATTTGAGTGAATTAATAAATTAATGCTAATTTCAATCAATTATAAGATGTCAATCACTCGAGACATTCATGAACTCAAGTATTGCTATTAAATTACAGTTGAGTTTCCCGAAATGTTACCTTAAATCTACTAATCAATATCAAGTAATTTGATCAGATTTTATCAAATAAAAGCTCATTTATAGATAAATTGATGCTAATATTCTTGAGTACATTATAGCAAACTAATGGTTAGTATTATTCTGTGTGTGAGTGACCAAAACACATCACATAAACTCTACTATAATACAGAAAAATAGTTTTTATTTTGGAGATAATCTCATTATAAGAATTAGTGTAAGTCTTAAATAATTGAAATGTGATTTGCAGTCAATTGGCAACGAAATAGAGATATACACTACAAACTGATGGCTAACATCAAAAACTTATGTGAATGTAATGTCACTTATAAAAAGAAATCTCTTTAATGATTACGTTTGTCAGTCACG